AGTCTCACCAGAGAGTTGATCCCATGCTCTTTTGTGTATGAGTCCAAAATACTATCGCTGCGTTTTTCTACTTCATGATTATGTTCAGCGAAAAGTTCAGCAGGTTGAGCTAAGCAGCTCAAGTCGCGCAAAGAAATGCACACCCCACTTCAACTGGCCGAGTTGACCTAAAGCGAGGGATTATGATAACTGTATGGGTTCATAGTGGAAAGCGGGATGCTGAATAATGCCCCAGTGGCGAAAAAAGCAAAGAAATCCGTCAAAAACGCGCAAAATGGGACCCTTTCTTTGCCCGTTGACCTCCGATAATGGACGAGCTAGCAACCAACTAAGAGGTCGTTTGCACATGTTAAACCATAGCACCATCATACCAGCAAAGATCAAGCCTTGATTGAACGCATTCTATGAAGTTGTAGGATACGTGCTCGAAGTGAATACCTTATCAAAATGATAATCGAATTGTGATAGAGCTGGCAACACTTTGGTGGGCCGAGCACAGACAGTAGTGGAGCTCAGAAGGATTTCATGTAAATAAACATATAAATAGATAACATGTGAACCTGAAAATTCCTAGTGCGGTGGCCACAAATTCGGTGACTCACGCAGATTGACTTCTATGAGAGAGCGCAGCTGTCTAACATCGACACCAATGGCCTTTCTAAACAAGGGTTTTCTTTCAGGCCATAATTGTGCGGACGACAGATAGTCAGGCATTCTGATACGGCATAGTCTACGACGACGAGAAGATATAACATCTTAATAAAGTTCCAAATAGAGCCAGACGCCGACCTCCTTTTTCGTGTTCTTCTACGGAATGCAACGAGGAAGCAGTTGACGTCATTTAGAATTTCGTCTTCTATGGAAATTCCACGAACAAATGGCTCATATTTCGATTTTGTGTTTAACGACCTTGTCATAAAAACTGCTTTTAAGTTTTTTAACGTTTCTATTAAAATTGAATTGCTAAATATAGCAGATTTTGATTGCTTTAGCTGCGCCCATGCGTAGGACTACAGACTGATGTACAAAGGTATAAAAGATGGTCGATAAGAAAATTCTCTCTTCCACTTTCTTCGAGATACCTGTCCTCTATTTTTTGCTTCATTGCATGTTTTATATACTATAACGGGGAATCAGTCATTTCTTTCAGCTCGTACTTCCTTCAGGAGTTTTTCTAAACGGTATAATAATTTCGCTTTCTTCACTTTTCAGGAACGACAATGAAAGCTCTATCTGCGTGGTTCGCCGTATTCTTGGTAAGCTGACTTTCAGTCAACGTTCAATAGGTTGTGAACCCTCCAACTAGCCAGTATGCTTGTGTACTTTTTATAAATACTAGCTGCTCTCTTAGTGTGATGGCGCAGATGGCTGGGAGACTCCTTGACCTTCAGGGGCACAGGCCATCCCGGCGATCCTTCACGGGAAGCATGTCGATTTCATGAAAGAGGTGCTCCCTGGGCATCACTGATGTTATCCACAAATGAATCAACAGGGTATGGCAAGTACACAACATGCGCTCTTCAACAAGTGGGAAGTCATACCGGCAGCTCCATACTACTAAAAGGGCCAGCGCTGCAGGGCTATGGTTTCAGAAATCAGAAGAATCAGAAATCTTTTACACACAGAGCATCAACGTGTAGGAGCACGTGTAACGTAATGTAAACTTTTTAAGGCATGTTCTGTGATCGCCTATGGATCGGCATTCTTCCCCTTCCCAGCTGGGTGCGGCATTTGCGGATGTTACTGCAAGAAGTGATGCAAAAACTGATGTGCCAAGTATGAATCAATAAAGTTGATCGAAAATGTGTTGGCAGTGGAAAATACCAGGGTAGGACAACATACAGAACAATTCTAATCTGTTTTATAGTGTTGAAGCTGATAGCAACAAGGTGATACAGGTCTAGCAGTCTGAATCGAGATACGGTGTTCAATGAAATTGTGCTGAAGTCCGGTACAGAAAGGCCCTATTCAGTCTTCCATATTTGTTTATCTCGTGAAGAGCCGACATGATTTGGTATTATTTACTCCACCTATAATCGCTTGGATGGTTCGGCTACCACACTGATATTGCGTCATTGAAAATTTGCCCAAAAAATAGTGAAGAGATTAATTTTGACTTCTGCGTGGCAAGTGTTTCAGAAGGATGCTGCCGCACCTCTAACGGGCAAGTGCGCTACGAGTTGCGCAATATCATCGTTAGACGTGTGAGTCCTGAGGCAAATATACTATGAAAAGCTGAGTTAAGGCGAAATGGTGGCCGATAGTGTAACCTGTAGCGGGTTCGAGTTCCACCTAGCGCGAAAGTTTTGCTTATAAGCCAGCATTCTTGCGAAGTAAAGAAGGATTTCTCAGACAGGTTTGTTGAATCTCACAAAAGCTAAGCTGAAAGAATTGGCACCTGTCTATAGAGTAGGGAGAAAACTGTGAAGCATCTACCTAACGATCCTTCACAATTTGAAGGTAACTTCTTCGACCATTCATTCGGTCACCAACTTGGCCTTGAACGTGAACGAACGAGCAGGACTCACTTGAATTAGAATCTAAACCAAAGGATATTTAAACCATAGAAGGAGAATAAAGAATACCCAACTTTTAAACGAGACTGTTGTTAGAACAAATCGAATAAAAACTGTACGGCAGCACCCAGGCCCCAACCTGAATAGAATAAATGGGCAGGTTTCCCGACATCAACTGAAGACGATGAGCGCTCATGCCGTGATGACTAACTGACGGATGAGAAAAAGTTGGCCCGTGACCTGTCGCCTTCCTGAAAATTTTCTGCAAGTTGTCCCTGGGAATGGCAGCGCTCCATTCGATTCCCATCGATTCTCGAGATAGATTGTTTTGAATCTGCATGGATTTGTTCGGCTGTAGAGGTACTTAAGCGCAGTAAATATGGGGTTGTTTAGAAAATTTCTTCCGGTTTTGAGCATGCATTCAAGTGGACATATCGAAAAGCAAAACGACTTCAATTACAATACAAGCCGTTAAGCTTTGCGTTAGCCGTACATTTTCCTACAAACGTCGGCTGTACGGGAAATTTCGTCATCACGTTGGATTTCGACGAACTCTTCTCTACAAAGAAGTAATCCAGACTGCTGTATAAGTTTTAGCGGATAGGCAGGAGATTTTTCGGACAAGATCTTGGCAAGAGTTGAGTAGCCTAGCTTTTTGCAGTGTTGGTGCGGCGGTATGTGTTCAAGGCACATCGTCTCGGAGTCTCGGCACCTTCAAAGAGCCCTTGTTCGAATCAGGGTCTGTCCTATTGTTGCTACTTTTCAACGCCCCTCCCCCATGAAATGTTTCATACGACCCCCCCCCCCTGTTGCTGCTACTTGTAGCAATATAGTGTTGACCCTGGTTCGGCGTATGTGTTAACGATTTTGGTATACTTCCTAAAAAAAGAAAGTACTGTCTTACTTTGGCAGGCTGCGTTCAGTGACTGTCTCGAGAACTGATAAACTGGACGGTGGCATGTGGCACCGCTACTGAACGTATGATACAAGGAGCGAGAGCCAGCTTGAAAATCACCCAGGCAGGAACCTTCGAGAATGATCACTTGATCCAGAATGATGGAGGCCTTTCCAACTATTACATTTACAGGATGGGGCATAAATATGGTGACAAATTAATTGTGGCCCAGTGACAAGAGGTGGAATAGCAGCGATAGATCATCCCA